AAGACGTTCCGATCAGACTCGGTATGTCGGTTCTTCAAGACACTTCGACAAGTTAAAACAAGACCAGCAACACCGCCCGAATGTGCCGACAAATCCCGATAGGAGCTGCACATATCTCGTACTCAGGGCACACTTAGATAGGTCAAGCTACGAGTAAAACCAACCCTCGAGTTTCCCCGAGGTGTCTCCGCAGGCTGCCTGGTTCGGACCAACACTCAGAGGAGCACTGGCCCGGGGGGGGGTTAAAATAAGATGACCCTCGGGCTCCGGAAACCCAAGGGAAAAAGAGGCTAGGTGGAAAATGGTAAAACCAAGGTTGGGCATTGCTGGAAAAGCTTTAATCAAGGCGAACTATCAAGGGGTTCCCATTAGAACCCAACCGCGTAAGGAACGCAAAATCCGGGAACATAACACCGATATGACGGAAACTAAGGCGGCAAGAGTGGAACAAAACACTAGGCGAGAGGCCGAGCCTTCCACCCTTTACCAAGTGTATAGATGCATTAAGATAACAAGATAATATAATGATATCCCAAAAAGTAAATAATGTTCCAACAAGGAACGGCCTCCAATCTTCACCTGCAACTAGCAACGCTATAAGAGGGGCTGAGCAAAGCGGTAACATAGCCAATCAACGGTTTGCTAGGACACGGTGGGTTAGAGGTTTGACATGGCAATTTGGGAGGCTTGAAAGCAAGTGGTAGGCATCGTAGCATTGGCATAGCAAAAGAGCGAGCATCTAGCAAAGCAAAGATAGTAGTGATTTCGAGGGTATGATCATCTTGCCTGCAAAGTTGTCAGAGTTGACTGGATCCTCGAAAGCAAACTCAACGGGCTCCTCATGAGCGAACTCGTCTCCCGGCTCTTCCCAAACAAGACAAACAAGCAACAAGGGCACAATCAACCACGTGCAAGGCTCAAACGATATGATGCAAAGATGATATGCTATGCGGGATGCGATGCGGGATGCATATGCAAGATTTGACAAGGAATGCATGAAACTGGCCTCAACTTAGGAATCCAAGTGAGCCACTGGAAATATGAGATGAAATCGCTTGAAAACGATGTAAAGAACGTCGGAATCGGAGTTGCGGTTTGGAAATGGCAAGCAATTCAAATATGACACCGGTCTGCGATTTACAGCAAGTAGCCATCTAAATGTAACGAGATGAACAAACTACAACACCCAAACATGGCAACAAAATACATGGCAGGGATGCATGCAAGATGCTTAACAAAAGTCTAGCACTGAGCTATGACCAATTCATCCATTAACAGGTTCAAACAAGCATGGAAAAAATGCATATGGTAAACAGATTTCAGACTTAGTGAAATTAACACTTGTCTGGAATCTCAGATCAGGTAGCACACTTCGGAGCAACAAAACTACATGCTACAGGACCTGAACATGGCAAAGTAAAGCATGGGATGGAGCTACTCAAAGAGCTTAACAAAAGTCCCTTAGTGACCTTGAGCCAAAAGGGATCAGAAAATACAATTGCAAGCATGTGAACATGGCAAAAACATAATCAGTTCTCAGACTTGGCGAAAACTGGAGCATGCTGAAAACAGATATCAAGTAGGCATGTTTACGAGATCGATGCACTCACTACGGAGCAAGTCATGATAATCTAAGCATACACCCATCAATAATACACAAAATGCAAGCTAGACATGGCAACAACAATAGCATAGCATGCACGGATCAACTACAACATCATCGGCAAAATCGCTAACAAGTAGACAATCTACCCAGATTCACGAAGTAGCAAAAGTAGAGCTCGATTGACTCAAGCTAGGGTGCTCCATAATTGCAAAAAAAGACATGGATGGATAGAGTACTACAAGATAACAAAACATACTTACTGATCATCCTCAAAAGAGGCACGGATCACTCGGAAACAACATGAACATATGACCATATGAAATAAATAGCTCAAGGACTTAGTGGAAATGCTAAGTCCCTGAAATCAGCATTACCAAGTGTCTCACTTTGCAAGCTTGTGCTAGACACCCCACACATCACAAAAATACATGGGTTGCACCTTTGGAAAGATGGCAAAACCCTTAACAAAACATATGTAGAACTCATTGGCATATCAAGCACACAATAATCATGGCAAAAATGACAAATATCTAAATGGAGCGGCAGATCTGACAATTATCTCAAGTAGCCCTCTTCTAACAGCATTTCGGCATCAAGATGAACTCAAATGAAAATGATGCAATGGAATGAAATGATGTATTCTCTGAGATGAACATTTTGATATGCTATATGCCAAAAACGGAGTTACGGATGCAAAGTTACGATGCTATGAACATGGCATATGAGCTAGGGTTCCGGGAATAAAAGTCAACCGAGTTGAAAATAGATCTAGATCCGGCCCGATGCACTGTAGCTCTCACATCGCCCGAGGATGGCCGGCCGATGCTCTCGCCGGAGCAGGCGGTCGAAGTTGAGGAGGTCGCCAGGCCGGAGCTTGCCGGCGTCGGCGGGCGGCGAGGGTGGCGCCAGAGGAGGCGGCGGTCCGGGGCGGCATCGGAGGAGCGAGCCGAGGCGGCGGAGGCTTCCCAGAGCCTGCCGGCGAAGAGGCAACGAGGTCGATGGTGGCCGGCGACGGTATTGGTGGCGGAGACGGCAGAAGGAGGCGGCGGGGCGCGGGCGACGAAGCGGCCGGTGGCGCGCGACCCGGATGGGCCTCGGGGGCCGGCGATGGGCTTCCCGGGCCCGGGCGGCGCGGCGATCTGGGGACTGGGCGCGGGCGAATGGCGTGATGCCACATGGCGGCGGCGGCGGGATTTTTCGTCCGGCGGCAGGCGGACACGTCCGGCCGCGCGGAGGGAAGAGGGATCTAGGGTTTAATCCGAAATTTCGGGGGAGATGCCTATTTATAGGTAGACGGAGCTAGGAGAGTCCAAATGAGGTGCGGTTTTCGGCCACGTGATCATGATCGAACGCTCTAGATGATGGAGAGGGTTTAGGTGGGTTTGGGGCCAAATTGGAGGGGTGTTGGGCTGCAACACACACGAGGCCTTTTCGATCCCTCGGTTAACCGTTGGAGTATCAAACGAAGTCCAAATGATACGAAACTTGACAGGCGGTCTACCGGTAGTAAACCAAGGCCGCTTGGGAAGTCTCGGTCCAATCCGGAAATGTTTAAACCCCACACACAAAAGAAAGATAGAAATGACCACCGGAGGAGAACGAAGCGCCGGAATGCAAAATGGACAACGGGGAAAATGCTCGAATGCATGAGATGAACACGTATGCAAATGCAATGCACACGATGACATGATATGATATGTATGACAACGACAACACACACGGAGACAAAAAAACCCGAACCCGAGAAAATAAAATAACTTAACGCCGGAAACGGCAAGAGTTGGAATACATATTGGGAAAGTCATATCCGGGGTGTTACATCAATGATCCAATCTTCTCCTTCCTATCACGGTGAAATAAGCTTCTCATCTACTTGTTGATATCAATCCAATCTGTTGTGTCTTTAGTGGCAGAATTTCACCTCATAGTTTTGAGATGTTTTCCATAAGCCCACAACAAGCTTACTCTTTTCGTTGTTGGTTTTCCAACAACTCCGTTTGCCCGTTTTCCTAAGGATGCCTTTCCAAGCTCATTTGTGGCAGAAGTTGTCATTTTATTCTAAATTCTTTCCTTTCCAATGATCCAACTTCTATTCTTTCGTTCTGGAGGCAGTGTGTTGTTGATCTCATCAAGTATCCTCTCATCTTGTCAAATTCATGTTCAATTCCTTCCATTTACAGTCGGAGTGCTACCCAAATTATATCTTTCTTAGCCTTTCTCTATCTTGTTTAACCGGAGTGTTGTGTCTATCTTTCCTCTTCTAACCAGACTCTCATCCAAGTATTTTCATTTTGCCAAGTTCATATTATTGCCTTCCATTTCCAATCGGAGTGTTGTCGTAATTGATCTTTATCGTTCCTTGCGCATCTCGTTCTACCGGAGTGCTTGCATGTACTTCTTGTCCATTGCAATCCTTTTCTTATGTCTTTCAACCTACAAGGCTCTAGTAGGTTCCTTGTTCCTCTTTTCTAACAGAGTGTTTTCAACTTTGGTCATTTTCGTTGTATTCTTTCTTTCAATTTGTTCAACCTCGCAAGGTTCTTTGGTTCCACTCGTTTGTCAAAGAAGCAACTTTGTTGTACCTCTTTCTCTTCCGCTTCCCTCTGGTGCCATCCTAGATCTTGGGATGAGATCCTCTTGTAGTGGTGGAGTGTTGTGACGCCCCAAGACCGGAGCTTCAGATGCCTTCTATGTTTTCCGGGTTTCGCCATGTGTTTCATTTCCGCTTGCTCTATTTATTTTTGCATTGCATCATGTCATCATGCCATCATGCCATAATTCTTTTGCATCTCAACTAAATAAATTGTGTGGATCTTCGTTCCATTTAAATCAAGGGAAGAATGACTTCTCTTTATAACATACCCTCCCGATATTTAGGGAGATATTATAAAATATTCCGTTGTTTTCGAATCACCCATGAACCCACTTGCATATTAAATCCCTTGGCCTTTCTTCTTAAAGCTTTGACTCTCTAGCCTTGCCAATAATTCTTTTGCCACTTTCCGGAGCTCTACCAAAATTCTCAACATTTTTGGTTACTCCTAAAACCTCGTCCTAGTTCAAACCCATTTGAATTAAATTCAAATGAGTTTGAAATTACATCTTTCAATCTTGGTCTTTTCTATTTTCTCGGAACAAGCACATTTTTACGAGTCCATGAAAATTGTCCCCATGCCCAAATTCCTTCTCCAACCTTTTCTTTCTCTTATTTCTTTCTTTGCTATTTGCTGTTTTGGCAAATAAAGAGAAATGAGAAAGAGAGAGAGAGGAGAGAAGCCAGCTCAACTGGGCCTACCTACCTCCTGCACCGGACCAACCTCCCCTAGGCCCCCCGCAGCCTCCAAGGCCCAGCCGCCAGCCTTCCCTGCCCAAAGCCCACCTAAACTTTCTAACCCTAGCCCGTGCGATCTCTCCCTTCCCTCGTCTCCACCCCGCCGCCTCCTCTTGATCTCCACAGCGCCCGCACCCGAAACCTCTCTCTCCCTCGATCCCTTCCCTCGTCTCCCTCCTCACGCCGCCAGGGAACCCACGACCAAACCTCCCATCTCCCTCTCGTTCCCTGTGACGCAGCCTTGCCGTTCTGTGCCACCGTCGCGCTGCACCGGTCGCCGTCCATATCCCTCACGCGCGGCTCGCCTCCCGCCTTCCTCTCCTGCACCTCGTCCCCGACTACCCAAGACGGAGCTCCCGCCGCTGCGCCTTGGACAGGAGGTCCCTCATGGACGCCCGTCTCCTTGCCGCGCCCTCCGCCGCTTGGAGCCTCGCCCTGCCGTTCCTATGAAGTTCCTCGCTGGAATTGCATCAGGCTGCCACCATGCCTTGATGCCCCTCCGTCGCACCAAGTCCCACAACATCGAGCCGCCCCAAGCTCCGTTCGTGCCGCCATTTCCCCGGTCCGGCCGTTCCTCTGCCGTCTAGCGCCGCTCCCATTCGGATCCGTCAAGCCCCGCTGTGCACCTTCGTCGCCTCGCCATCCCTCGTCCCGACCAGCAGCAGGAGCTCAAGCCCTGCCATGGCCGCTGCCTTCTTCCAGCTTTGTCGGCCCCCTCGTTTTGACTGGCAGGTCAAGAACGACTCCGTCGCGTCCTTCCTTCACCTTCACACGCCGTCCGCGAGCGTCAGGAGCACCCTCACACGATGACCAAAACAGCGCCAAGTCGTTGCCTCTTTGCAACTGTGATGTCTTGCGTGGACGCATTCGAAACCGGATTTGGAACCTCAAGCGCCAAGTACCGTGAGTCCGAAGATCTTGGATGCACCAAGTCCCTCGATGACAAGTACCAATACGAACGTGAATGACTACCATCGAGATGTATCACTACACGATGCCCGCCAAGTTCGACGACGCTCTTTGCCCGAATGACTACTGCCGACGCGTACCTCTCCGTCGTCGTGGGTTTCGTCAAGTTCAACGGTGAACCTTGAAGCCCTCGGATCCGTCAAGTCGAAAGACCCTTAGTACCACGACAACCCCAAAGGAATACATATTCGTTAAGTTCACCTTCAAAATGTGTACCACTACCACCGCCCGAACGTCTACAGAACATGTACCACAACCATCGGTGAAGACCCCGTGGACGTCAAGTTCCTCGTTGTGACCCCGAACACCTACGGGGTGTGTACAACTACGAAGCGAGAATGACTACTTCCACTACGAATGTCCCGAGAACGTCTACTTCCTCTACTTTGCATCGAACGAGAACCGTCCCGTTTGCACGCTTCGAAGGTATAACCCCGAGACGACCGCCCGTTTACGAATGCATGTGATATATGAGATGATCGTGGTTGCACCGTGTATGAGTTGTTCTTTGCAAGTTCCTCATTGCCTTGCCGTCGACATGTGGGAACCCGGTATCCGGGAGCTCCCCATCATCTTGCATGACAGACTCACACCCACTTCCTTTTGCACCGGTATCCCTGTGAGCTACCGGATCATCGGAATGTTGCCGTGGCATCATTTTCGGATTCGTTGCCATGGCACCCCTTTCGTTTCCGCCAGGATGACTAATGCTTCATAATGCTCTTATCAACATTTTTCTTTAAAATTGCATAAACTTGCATATGTCATCCGCATCATGATAACAACTTCAAGAATGTTTAAATTGTTGCTTGCTTCAATTGCTAAATGCATATGAGGATTTACCGGAATTGTTGTTTGATGTTTCCGGCCTCATTTAAAATGCCTAGCTGTGTATTTTACTCATGTTTCACCTCTTGCCATGTTAACCAACATTTAATTTTGTTGAGTATGTAATTGGGAGTGAAAATAAATAATGGAATGTGGTGTTTTGTCAATATGAATCCTGATGCATATTGAGCTCCACTTAACTTGTAGTGTTGTTTGTGCACTTTGCCATGCCATGCCTCATTAAACCGGACATGCATCATACTTTATTGCGCATCAGTTTTTTTGACCGAAAGACTGTAAGGGAACCCCATACAGTATAATTGGTGCAACAAACCCAAATTGCAAGTACCATGCCTTGAACCTGGGTGGGTGGGAAGGCATCAACCCCTTCCCACCACTAGGCTATGCCTTAGTCTGCTTGTTTGCGCATCGTGCCATGCTTATGTGATGATTGTTTACTATGTTGCTAGCTTCTTTCCAGGTTTCTTCTCGCGTTAGCTTTGGTTTCATTCCGAAGTTGTGAGGATTCGTTTGACTACATCCGTTTGTCTTCTTCATGGTCTCGTTCTTCTTCCTTGCGGGATCTCAGGCAAGATGACCATACCCTCGAAATCACTTCTATATTTTCTTGCTAGTTGATCGCTCTATTGCTATGCCGCGATACCTACCACTTGCTATATCATGCCTCCCATATTGCCATGTCAAGCCTCTACCCACCTTTTCTGAGCAAACCGTTGTTTGGCTATGTTATCGCTTTGCTCAGGCCCTCTTATAGCGTTGCTAGTTGTAGGTGAAGTTGAAGTTTGTTCCATGTTGGAACATGGATATGTTGGGATATCATTATTATATCTCTTATTTAATTAATGCATCTATATACTTGGTAAAGGGTGGAAGGCTCGGCCTTATGCCTGGTGTTTTGTTCCACTTTTGCCGCCCTAGTTTCCGTCATACCGGTGTTATGTTCCTTGATTTTGCGTTCCTTACGCGGTTGGGTGTTATGGGAACCCCTTGACAGTTTGCTTTGAATAAAACTCCTCCAGCAAGGCCCGACCTTGGTTTTACATTTTCCTAACAACCTAAGCCCTTTTCCCTTGGGTTTTCGGAGCCCAAGGGTCATCTTTATTTTAACCCCCCGGGCCAGTGCTTCTCTAAGTGTTGGTCCGAACTGGGCGATGTCCGGCGCCCCCTGGGCAACCAGGGTCTATGCCAACCCGACGTCTTGCCCATCCGGTGTTCCATGAGAACGAGATATTTGCAGCTCCTATCGGGATTTGCCGGCACGTTCGGGTGGCTTTGCTGGTCTTGTTTTACCATTGTCGAAATGTCTTGTAGCCGGGATTCCGAGTCTGATCGGGTCTTCCCGGGAGAAGGAATATCCTTCGTTGACTGCGAGAGCTTGTGATGGGCTAAGTTGGGACACCCTTGCAGGGTTTTAAACTTTCGAACGCCATGCCCGTGGTTATGGGCAGATGGGAATTTGTTAATATCCGATTGTAGAGAACTTGACACTTAACTTAATTAAAATGAATCAACCGCGTGCGTAGCCATGATGGTCTCTTTCCGGTGGAGTCCGAGAAGTGAACACGGTTCTTGGGTTATGTTTGTGCATAAGTAGTTTTAGGATCACTTCTAGTTCACGACCGTTGCGTTGCTTCTCTTCTCGCTCTTATTTGCGTATGTTAGCCACCATATCTGCTTAGTGCTTGCTGCAGCTCCACCTCACCACCCTTTCCTACCCATAAGCTTAAATAGTCTTGATCTCGCGGGTGTGAGATTATTGAGTCCTCATGGCTCACAGATACTCCCAAACAGTTGCAGGTGCCGATGATACCAGTGTAGAGGATGCAATCGCGCTCAAGTGGGAACTCAATGAAGATCTTGATTGTTGTTATTTGTCTTTTCCAGTTGATCAGTTGTGGTGCCTAGTTGGGACGATCGGGGATCTAGCATTTGGGGGTGTCTTCTTTTATTTTGGTTCCGTAGTCGGACCTTGATTGTATTTTGGATGATGTATGTTTAACTTGTATTTGTGTGAAGTGGCGATTGTAAGCCAACTCTTTATCCCTTTCTTATTCAGTACATGGGATGTGTCAAGATTACCCCTCTTGCGACAAGCCTAGCATGCGGCTATGCCTCTAAGTCGTGCCCCGACACGTGGGAGATATAGCCACATTGTGGGTGTGACACATGATGACCCACAAGTATAGGAGATCTATCATAGCCTTTTTGACAAGTAAGATTGTCCAACCCAACGAGGACCAGAAGGAATTTACAAGTAGTTTTCAGCAAGGTTTCACTATAAATGATGTAAAGATAGTTTCATAGGTTGTTTGATAGCTTGATAATTTCTAACAAGATAAATAATAACAAAAGGTAATAGAACGCAACAAGTGTCCCAATCCTTATGTATGCTAAGAACAAGCCGATTGTGTTTCTTATAGTATCTAAAATGCTCTTGAGGACACACGGGAAGTTCGTCAAGTTCCTTTCCCTGTTTCTTTAAGTTACCTTTCATTGATTTTATATGTGTTATGTTGGTGGACTGATACGTCTCTATCGTATCTACTTTTCCAAACACTTTGCTCTTGTTTTGGACTCTAATTTGCATGATTTGAATGAAACTAGCCCGGACTGATGCTATTTTCAGCAGAACTACCATGGTGTTGTTTTTTCTGTAAAAATAAAAGTTCTCGGAATTGGACGAAACTTCATGGAATAAATAAAAAATACTGGAGCAAAGACCCACTAGAGGGGCCCCCTGTTGCCCATGAGGCACCAGGGCGCGCCCACCCCCCTGGGCATGCCCTGCTGGCTCGTGGGGCCCATGTAGCTTCGCTGACCCTAATCTCAAGCCTATAAATTCCTATTTCCTAAGGAAAAAAAATAAGAGAGAAAGTTTCATCGCGTTTTACGATACGGAGCTGCCGCCACCTCCTGTTCTTCATCGGGGGGCCAGATCTGGAGTCAGTTTGGGGCTCCGCAGAGGGGGATCTTTCGTCATCGTCATCAACGACCATCCTCCATCACCAATTTCATGATGCTCACCACCGGGAGTGAGTAATTCCTTTGTAGTCTTGTTGGACGGTGATGGGTTGGATGAGATTTGTCATGTAATCGAGTTAGTTTTGTTAGGGCTTGATCCCTAGTATCCACTATGTTCTGAGATTGATGTTGGTATGACGTTGCTATGCTTAATGCTTGTCACTAGGGTCCGAGTGCCATTATTTCATATCTGAACCGTTTATGTTTTCACCATTATATTTGTGTTCTTAATCCTATCTTGCAAGTTGTGTGCACCTACTACGTGTTATGATCCGCATACCCCAAGGTGACAATATTGGGATTCTTTCCGGTGATTACCAAAGTTTGAGGAATTCATGTGTTCACTATGTGTTAATGCTTTCTTCCGATTCTCTATTAAAAGGAGGCCTTAATATCCCTTAGTTTTCTTATGGACCCCGCCACCACAGGAGGGTAGGACAAAAGATGTCATGCAAATTCTTATCGCAAGCACGTATGACTATATACTGAATACATGCCTACATTACGTTGATGAAATGGAGCTAGTTCTGGGTTGACCTAGGTTATAACTATTACATGATGAATGTTATCCAACATAATCACCGATCCAATGCCTAGGAGCTTTTCACATATTGTTTCTGCTAAGTTACTACTTTTGATGTTGCTACTGTCACAATTGCTACAAAACTACTAATGTTACTGTACCATTACTGTTGCTACCAAAGCTACTACCATCAAACTACCAAATTACTATGCTACCGATCACTCTGCTGCATATATTTAGTCTCCGGGTGTGGTTGAATTGACAAGTCAACTGCTAATACTTGCAAATATTCTTTGGCTCCCCTTATGTCGAATCAATAAA